ACGTGGTCTCACCCAAGATGGTGGCTCCTGGAGTAGCCGAGCGTCCCGGACTAGAAAGCAATAGATTTCTTGCTTCTGCCACAAATTCCCCCAACTGTAAGTCTTCCAACCTTCTAAATATTCCTTTATATGTGGTTCAGAGTTCTGGGACCATCTTGTTCAGGTATTCTGTGTTGTTGTTGGCGGAGCTCTCTGCTATATGTCCACCCGATCCGCCATCTTGTTTGTTCCCTTACGGATTATATCTTAATGTAAAGAAAACCAAAATCCTCACAACAAGACCAATAAACAAGATAAATGGAAAAATATTGAAATTGTCAAGGATTTTATTTCACTGGATCCATATTCAACACTCATGAAAGCAGTCGTCAAGACATAAAATGATGTATTGCATTGTTAAAGAGCAAAGTTGTCACTTTGTGGCACTGCAGGATAATGTACTGGACATAAAGGTCAGTTTGAACGGAAAAGTCTGCTCCTCAGAAACACTAAACAGTGTTGCTATGAGTCAAAACTAACTTGACGGCACTTAACAACAACAATGGACATATATTATGGAGTCCTAGTGGTATTGTTGGATAAGCTCTTTACTACAAGGTCAGTTTGATCCAAAAAGTAGGCAGTTTAAACTTACCAGTTGTTCTTCAGAATCCCTATACCTGGTCACTATAAATCAGAACCAACTCAACGGCATTTAACAACAACAATACTAGTAATTGTATTTTCAATCATCTCCTGTGCATTTGAAAGCTGAACAGCAAATAGTTTGGAATACCAAACTATTTACACCTTTGAAATGTGGTGTTGGCAAGGAATACTGAGCCTACAATAAACTAGCAGAAGAAGCAATACAAGTGAGCTAGGATGTTTCTTAGAACCAACAATGATGAGACTTCTCCCATACTTTGAACATGATATGAGGAGGGACCAGTCCCTGGAGAAGGACACCATGGTGAATTAGAGTGAAACAAGTCTGAGACCATCAACTGGATGAACTGACACAGTGACTGCAACAGTGGGCTCTACAATTTTGAAGATGACAGAGGATTGGGCAGTGTTCTGTTGTACATAAGATGAGTTGAATTCGACTCAATGGCAGCTAGCAACAACTAACAATTGATATTGAAGTTAACTGGAAAGAGAAGAATGAGGAAAAGTTTTTGTTGAAACAATATGGCAGAAACTTCTCATTTATGGCTAGTTGGAAGTTGACAATTCCTTTGACCAAAAATAATAAAACTGTCAAAGTGTCAAAAATGACCACGTTGCAAGGCTAGAAAATTTCTAAAGGCATATATCAAGTTTAGAAACATTTATTTTTTTAAAAAAAAGACTATGAAACTTTTCAAAAGCAAAACAGAAAAATTTGTATCTTCTCTGGAAATGCTTTTATCCCTGCTCCTTTGTTTTGTGGTGTAGCTCTTTTATCAGATTGAGAATGGCAATGTGGCTCAGCAGCTTACATGGCTGAAGGGCCTGATTTTATATGGAACCCCATGCAGGAAAGACTGTATACCCTATA